CTAATAAGGAGTTAGGCAACAATAAAATAAAATCTACACTTTTTCTATTTCGTAGGTTTCAACACAACCAATAAACAGTTTATTCTAAAATTAAAATTAAAAAATCTTGTGGCTAAATCATGTCTTTTAATATTTTTGTATATTTTCCTGTAAACAATAATCTAATGCAAATTCAATATTATAAATGTTGAATGTTATAAAATATATAGCAACATATTTTAAATAGTATATAAAATAATTTTATTATACATTAAAATATAATGTGGATGCATACAAAAAAAACATTTGTGCGGATGCACAAATCATATTCTGAAAATGTAAGTGATACAATTAACAAATTATAAGACAACATATAAGACTCATTATCAATTATAAAATTATCGTGTTTAAAAATTTCAAATTAAATGATTATTTTTAAAACTATCACTTACACAAAATGGATATCTATTTAGAAAAAGGTAAAATGAAAACCCGCGTACGATAAATTTTTAAAGTATAGATTATCAATTATACAGAATAAATAGTCATTTGTAAAAATCGTAAAAACAAATACCCGCGCACTATAAAATTTGAAAATATAGATTATCACTTACATAAAAGAAATTTTAATTTATTTATAAAGAAAAAACCAAAACAAAAAGCAAAAAAATAAATGATCATTGATATATAATCTTACCAAATGGATTATGTTACTTTTTTATGTGTTTGCTTGATCATCAAGAAATCAGAAGAAGGTTCTCGTTCTAATAAATTTGGTAGCTCTATTTTGGTTTCCCGAAATCTCGTCCTTTCTTGTTTGTTAACTAAGAAGGAAGACTTTTAAAATTAGCTGCTTATGTTTACTTGTGAAATAATTTATCAATGAGAAGCTGAGTTTATACATTCATTTTCAAAACTGTCTGTGTTTGCCTAGGAAATATCTAATAAATGATACTTTCTATATTTTTTTAAAAGTAAAACTTTGGTCCAATAGGTTTCTCAGTTACCATTTACCAAGCCAGGAAAAAAAGACACTGAAGTGATACAGGTGGGAGTCCGTATAGTGTTTTGATTTATAGGGAAGAAGAAAATGTATATTTTAAAATCTCATTTGGTTGAAAGGAGATGTAATAAAGTTATCACAATCAGTTTATAAATGCAAATAATCATTTAATTCTTACCTAAGATCCATCACATTGTGTTTATCACCGTTCCAACAACTCAAGAAACAAAAGTTTCGAGAAACTCTAGAAGAATATCACAAAAGCAAACAAAAAATCACAAAAGATATTTCAACAAATGAATCAATAACTTAATTATTTCACTAACAAAATTCAAACACACAAAAATAAACATATTCCAAAGGCCTATCATCCTGCTTGATTGCATACTAAACCAGCCTAGAATCAAATCTTGAGAGACCATTCACTTTGAAAATACTTGTAACCGTTTTAGACACAGCATAGTGGTTTTGATGTCATCAAGAGAGAGGAGTTAACCATTCTTAGCTTTGGAATATTTCCAAAGGGAAAATATATAATTCCATCTTAAACTAAATACACCGAATCTCCACAGTCGTGAACTTCACCTTTTATTATAAGTTCCTAAACACCTGAGACTTCAAAACTTTATGAACCCTATAAATCTTTACCAGTCAAAAGTTGTATCTTGGAACTATCTCACATGACAGAGCCGATAATTTTTTTGGATCACCCACCCTTGTGGATAAGGGACATCTAGGGCATCCAAGTGAAGATGCAAGCTGGTGGAAATACCTTCCATATCGCTTTCATCTGCTACCACCTGTTCTATAGTTGTTGTCTCCTGCTTGGAAACACACCATGTCATGTTTAAGTAAGATTACAAAGACAGTTCATTGAGCACCAGAGATGGAAGGAAAAAGCATAACTGGAAACCTTCCTTCACTGTGTCTAGATATGGTAATTGAAAGGCACACGTGTGTAGTGGAGACAGCCAACAGACCATCTCATTGCAGTGTAGTTTTAAACGAAGTAACCGTAGAGTTCTCAAGTCCGTCCATGTTTTAATTTGACTATCCTATTTCTGAACATCCAACCCCATAATACCATCAATATAATTTATAAGCATGTAGGATACGTAAAGGAGGAAACACACAACACTACTGGTATATAAGTAATTAGCAACAGAGAGGACTTAATATTCAAACTTTTATTAGTTAAGATCTAATGCGATAACAAAATGAAATATCATTTTCATACCTTGGTATATAAAAGCTGATACAACTTCTGATATTTAGCTTCTAAAGCTGCCTTCTACTTGAAAAACTTTGCTTCCATTTCATCAGGTTGGTTCTGCAATGCAAAATGAGAAAAAAGAATAAGAAAATATATATATATATATATATATGCACCACCAAATATCACAAATCTAAAAGACTATGTTCAGAAACTGCGAGGCATACAACGATTAGTAAATGATACTATTTAAAAAAGAACAGTCGCTGACAGTTACATATACGCACCAGGAAACTTCAAAGTAAATATTAAACCAAGGTTGTAGAACCCTGTTATCTGGCCAATATTTCCTTGGAAGCATGGCACCAATCAAATTTTCTTTTTGAATGAAAATATATAGAAGTAATTTTTTAGTATGAGAGAGACCTAATATAAAAATAAATGGGAGGGAAACACCACAACTCTAGAATTATGGTTGCAGATAGAAAAACAGAGATGAAAGAGGAAGCTGAGTTCAAGTAGACACTCAAATGATTGGATGTATCACTGTCAGGTATAGGCAGCGAACAGAAGCTAATCTTGTTTGGGTCGAGGAGATTCTTCTTGGGTGGTCGGAAAGAGAACGGAGGACTGGTCAGAAGTGAGTCATCAGAACGGAGGACTCGTCACATTCCTGGCCTCCCAAAACTTCAGCAGCCGCACTCCGACGGTGGTGCTACAGCAAGCGATTTTGATCTCATCAAGAAAGAGAGAGGAGTTAACCATTCTTAGTTCTGAAGTGTAGAAATCTATATGATAGAGATGAATGAAGATATGAGTTTTGAGGGAAAGATTAAATAAATGTCAGAGAATGGGAGACGTTACGGTAATCAAAAAGTCTCGTGCTATATTTCTAAAATCGTAGAGGTAGATGGGGAAAGAGAGACGATGGGGAAAACCCTACTTCCATATGGGCCAAAAATCAGTTTCATAAACCTGGGTTTCGAATGTGAACAAAGCCAATTTAAATCAGAACACGCCGGCGAAAATGCTAATAACGTGAGTCATATAACCAACCACATATGGACAGGTGGCGAAAAACCCCCCTCTAACCAAAGGTGATGTGGATAGCTTAAGAAGGCAGATATGTCAACTTTATTATTATAGATGTCTAATATTTCTACGGTTTCTTTGATTTGGACCTTGACAAGTTTATAGAATTATAATTTTAAATTAATTGGTATGCGTGAAACAATTCATTCATTTGTGTTTTGGTTCTGTGCATTCTTTTTTTCTTGTTTTTGATAAGCATGACTGTCTGAACCTTCGGCCCAAATATCCCCCTGGGATCTAGCAGACGCTAATATCATTTATAGCATAAAGCATTCTTTTAAGGTAGATCGAACATAGTAGCACAACGATATCATGTCTGCGCTTAGACAAATTGGACTATCACCTCCATGATTTTTCTATTATTTTTTGTGAGATTTTTAATTTGTTATTGCAAGATAATGAACATTTACTATCTACACGAAGACTTATTCTTAGGTTCACCCCCTAAGGTGAACTTTTAGGTTCACCCCCTAAGGTGAACTTTTAGGTTCACCAACCAATATGATGGTGTTATTTCATATTTGATATCTTTTAAAAAAAAAACAAAATCTTGTCAAATTATATTGTGTTTTTAAAATAAAACTAGAACAAAATAAATAAGATAATAATATTTACAAAAAACGAAAAAAAACTTTAAAAATATATTTTAACATTATATTATGTTTTAAAAAAAAGATAAAAATAAATAAAAACAGTGTAATTGGTTAGTATTAATTTATCCAAGGGTTAAGATTTTTCCAAAGGGTTTATGATTTACCCAAGGGTTTAGGGTCTAGAATTAGGATTTAGGGTTTAGTATTAGGGTTTAGGCTTTAGGATTAGGGTTTAGGGTTTAGTGTTTAGTGTTTTAGTATTAAATATTTTTTTTTCGTTTTCTTAATATTAATATTTTTTATTTATTTTTTTCTATTTTTATTTTAAAAACATAATATAACTTAATAAGATTTTATTTTCTTTTTAAAAAGATATCAAATATGAAATAACACCATCCTATTGGTTGATGAAGGTTCACCATAGGGGATGAACCTAAAAATAACTCCTACATTAACTGAATTTTAGTTGTGATATTAACTTTAGATTTATTTAGTTCTGCAGTCTAAATTTAGGACTCATTGAATATATGTATTTGAATTATGTTATTTATTTTAATTATCATCTTAAATATTTAGTATTATTTTAAGATTTTAAGTAGTTTTCATGGTTATTTGGTTTTTCAATAAAATAGGTTTTTGTAGGTTTATTGTTTTACACATTTGTTAATTGGTTGATTGATTTTCCTATAAATAGGTTTCTAGGCTTATTGTTTTACACTGTTGTTAATTGCTATTACTGAGAATTTATAAAGATGTTTTGATAAATATTGAGAAAAGTATTTTTGATCCTCGTTTTTGGTAGATCGGTTAATTTTGGCGAATCCAAATAAAATTATTTTTATTTATTTAGCTTTCACTATGTCAATTAGTCATATAAAATTTGGGATATGTTTGAGTTCATATCACTTTTTTTTTGTGGAACCAACTTGTATCTGAGTGTTAGAATCACAATAATTATTAGAGAAATTAAAATATGTGACTACAATAAAAGTGATATCTCATGAAGTAACCATAACGATGCATGTGTTATGGTACTGTATTAATGACACAAATATTTTGCACACGTGTTTATTGTAACTAAGTAATTTTTTTTTGAGAAATTGGCGTATATGGGTCTGATTGGTAATAGCTGTAATTTTAAAGGTTTTTGCTGTAAAAAAATATTTGTAAACTTTTTGTTGTGGCTTTAGATTTTATTGCTGTAGATTTTTTGGAAAGCACTAAAAAATTGCTTTGAATATTTGGCTCTGCATAACACTTATATAGCTGTAGGTTATTTCAAGAGTTGTGGTTTCAAAAAGAAATTTTAAACTTGACTACTCTGAATTTAGTGCTGTAGAAATAAATAGAGCTGTGGACACCTACAGCACTACCAATCACCCCATATATCTCCATTTGAGATCCATATTGACAATCTATCTTCCTCGTTCTACTTGACCTATCCTTCTTATATAACCCTTATCCCCTAAGATAACTCTACCCATAGCCTCATGCATTGTGTTAGACTTATGTCTAAAAGTAATTCTATTTTTTTTTATTACCTCTCTATCATTCTCCTTCTTAATACTATCATTTTTTTCTTTATTCTCTTCTCACTTACACGAATTCTACTTCATTTTTCTTGATTTTTTTTAATTATCTTAACTTTTACTAATCCATATTTAACTCACTTTGAATTATAGTTATTTCCATTGTCATCACCAATCTCTGCGGTAAAACACTATATGTGTTGGAACCAAGCTTCCCAAAATTCTAGTTTTAAAACTATTATAATATTTCTTTTTCTAACAATGATCTTCGGCAATTATGGAGATTAGAGCCTTATTCAAGCGAAAAGTCATGTGGAGAAGGAATCGAGTAGATTCTTAAGTGATAGTGATCAGATCGTCGAGTAAACACCTTTAACACAAACTTATCTAGATGGCAAAAAGTTTCAGGTAAATGAAATGTTACAAAATACTTATTGTTAATTGATACATAGTTTATTAGCTGATAAAAATTTTTAATATATAGTTTGCCAGCTTATACATGATTTGTTAACTAATGAATTGGTTGATACATAGCTCTGATTTGATATTATTTCTTGATTAATGAGATGTTATCTGATAAACAATTTGTTACATAGTTCATGGTATGTTAACCAGTGGCAGATCTAGAATCAATTTTAATTGTGGTCAGCAGAATGGGTTTTAGCCCAACCTAATGTGTAACATGAAAAAAATGAAAATATGGGGTCAAGGGGCATCGAACCCATGTATTTATTATGGGGTCAATAGGTGACTTAGAAACCAATCAAGCTGAGAATCTTTAGTTGTTCTATGTAACAAGGTAATATTTATAATTTTACCAGTGTCAAATGACCCTATACCTTTAAACGTGGGTCCTCCCCTGATGTTAACTGATACATAATTTGATATCAAAATATTGATAAATATTTATTGATACATGGTTACAATTGTAGTTAATTGATACATTGTTTCTTTTATTGATAAATAGATGTCGATTTGTACATTGTCTACTACTTAGTTTTGTACTTCAAAAATTGGTTGATACAAGATTTGTAACATATTGTTTGATAAATAGGTTATCATCTGATAACTAATTTGATACTTGATACATGTTTTATTAGCTGATACATAATTTGACATCAAAGAATTTGTTATATGATATATGATTTGGTATTTGGTTTATGTTTTGTTAGATGTTACACAGTTTAATATCCAATAATTAGTATGTAGTATTATGTATTTTATTAAGTACTCATTTTTATGATGAAGCTATACATATATATATATATATAGTAGTAGAAAAGTATATCAAATTTGTAAAATATTAAAAAGAGAAAATATAAGAAAAGAGAGTGCAATATGAAAGAGAAAGAAAATAAAAAGAAAGAGAATTTAAGATGGAGGCAAAAATTGTTGAATCAAAGAGGGAAGAGAGTGTGAGAGTGTAAATAAAAGAGAGTGTCAGCGGAAAGAGTGTGTAAGAGGAAAGAGAGTATAAGTGTGTAAGAGGAAAGAGAATGTAAATAAGAGTATTTGTGGAAGTTCATGATGAAAAAAGTGGGTGAAATGCTGAAATGCTCTTAATGAGGCAAAATTCCTTCTGCCATACTCTTACTCATTCTTACGTACTCCTCTATATTCTGATACTCTCCATATGGCTGGTTAATGTCGAATTTTCCTTTCCTACCTGAACGAATTAATGACCAATCAAAATCGAGAATCCTCTGAATTATTTTTATTTCCAAATTGGGATTGATTTGTTTTTTCTCTCTCATCTGCGGGATTCGTTTTTTCTTCTTCTTCTTCGTCGTTATCATCGCTTAGATCGGTTGAATTCTTCTTCTTGGATGCTGAATCATTGAGCTATTGATTCTGTTGACAGGGTATGTATCTTAAATCGTTCCTAACTCGTCGTAACCCAATGTTAGAATCCACCATACACGATCGATTTATAGAGATTCCAAATTACAATTCTAATTGGACTAGAGTAATTGAGATCGGAATGTGTGAATAGGCTATCGAATGGGATAATTAACAACTGTAATCATAAGAAAAAGAAAAGATAGAACGTTGGGAATCCAAACTGATAACTATTGAAACGAATTGAAGAGGGAGAAAACGAATAGCTAGAACAAGAAAAGTTGGGAAAATTTGGGAAAGTTGGTTGCTGACAAAACTGTGTATAACTTCGTATAACTAACATGCTATAACTGTATAAATAGGAATAAATCAGGTATAACTTAGTGGTTAATTTTTTTTTAATTGCAGATGAGTCTTTCTTTTACAAACATACACTTTGATTATGATGGACATTATTCTAAGTTTGGAGATAATTATGAATGGATTCCAACCGATGGTTGTTTGTATGGTATATCCTTTACGACATCATCATTGGTGGAGATCACTTATTTGTTGTTGAAGGAGAGAATATGCAGGAAGATGGGAATAGATTCGTTTACGAAGAGGCTGAAATTTGGTTACATTCCACTGGTAGTGGAACCTAAGAGACAATCATATATTTTGGATGATGAAGATGTATTTGTTTATCTAACATCGGTGGATAAAGAACAAAAGAAGAAGTATTTTGCATGTAGAGGACACCCAAGAATTGGAAATAATTCAAATAACCGAGCAACTATCAAGAATTGAGAATGAAAGCTCATGTAGTAGGAACTATGGTGAGCGTGAGAGTAGATATGGAGAAGAAGATAATGTGGGTACTGGTTTGGAACATAAGGAACACAATGAACATCCCCACAAAAAACACAAGAGGACACGTTGAAAGGTGAGATTTGTATTTTGTGTTGTGCAACTAAGTGAAACTTTATCCTTTACTGGTATAAGTACGATAGGTAAACTGAGTAATATGATTGTACATTTTAAACTTGTTACGAAAGTACTAAGATGGTATTTTATGAGTTATTTTGGATTGTGTTGATTATGATTTTATCAGAAAAAAAAACCCGTTGGTTCTTAGTAATCATGATGTCATTACATTGTCTTCTTATATGTTTTTCGTTAATATTCACCTTGTCTCATTTGAAATATTACTAAGTAATGAAATCGAGTTTATGTGTACATGGACAAATGAGAAATGAATCAAGTATACATAATATAACTGGTATAACCATAAAACCAGTCATTGTAATAGAGTAAAACCAAGATAAATAGAAAAAAATATAAAGTACAACTTTGATGTTTTCTGTAAAACTGCAAATTTGGTGAAACTTCAATCACAAAAATACTAGGCTAAAAATTTCCTTCCCACCAGCTTTTCGATTTATAATCTCAATCTTCCCCCTCCCCAATCCAATTAGTACTAAAATCCTTACTTTTGCGTTTTTCCTCATTCTCTAGATTTCACTTTCTTTCTCTTCCCTTTATCTCTCGTTCTCTCTTTTTTTTTCTCTCTCTCTCTCTCAACCGAAATCCCCCAATGTCGAACCCAAATACGTCTGCTTCATCTTCCACGACCGGTGGTCAGAGAAGACGAGTAAGAATTCCGGGGATACCTAAGAGGTGTTGGTGCGGGGAGAGCATCACCAAGGTCATCTCCAAATCCGGTCCAAATCTATATCTCCAGTATTATCAGTGTCTCGATGTGGTAAAAAAGAGGGTAACCTCCGTTTAGCTTTAGTTATTGAAGGGTTGCTCTTAAATATTTTGAGCAAAATGTTGGAATGTTGTAGCTCGAGAACGACAATCACGTCTTCAAATGGGTCAACAAAGCTTTCACAGATGAGATTGAACAGTTGGAATACCAAGTTCGTGTGCTAGAAGAAGAAGTTCAATTGCTCAAAGCAACAACTACAGTAAGCAATGAAGGTCCCAAAATAATGCCTAAGATAATGATATCAGAATGTTGTTAGTATCATCATTCTTGTTGTAGTTCTCGGTCGAATTATGATGTACAAGTGATTCCTAAAGCTAGTGACTTTTTCAAACATTTTGTTTTGTCTAAGTTTTTTTTTGTAATTTATGCGAAGTTAAACATTATGTTTGTCTAAGTTTTTTTCTAAATTTCTCCTAAGTTATGCGAACTTAAACTACTATGAAGTATGGTCAATTGAAAAAGTTTCTCAAATGTTTACGATGTTGGACAATTGAGAAATTGAACCTAACACAAAATTTGACCTGGTTATACGAACACCAACTTTCAAGTTAAGTTGAACTACTAATAACTTTGGTAAACTGAAAAGTTTCTCAAATGTTTACGATGTTGGAAAATTGAGAAATAGAACATAACACAAATTTTGACCTGGTTATACGAACATAAACTTCATGTTAATTTTAAGTTATTCTTAGGTTCACACACTTGGACAATTACAAAAGTTAAGAAAACCATTTTTAATACACATTAACGCAGTTCGACATCACAAACCAAGTTTCAGAGACACTAATGCATTAGATAAAACCTTACAAAGGCCCTATAGCTCCGTACTTCCGAACATGAGGGTCACTGTTATTGACCGATTGTCTGAACTCCTCTACCTCCGGCAAGCGCGGTTTGAACCTGAAGTCAGATAAGTCCCCCTCAGTCTGAAGCCATTCTTCCGTAGGACAAGAATAAACTGTATAAATGAGTTTAGAGAAGGTTTTAGTCAACTAACACATTTAATCTGAAGTCACATAAGCATAAACTTCACTTACATAAATAGGCACGAACCTTGCACATCTTAAGGACCACAATCACCTCTTGACGACCTCCCCTGTTTTAAAACCCTTCTTGGAAGACATAAGCATATTTCCCAGTTGCCACACATTTTATCTGACTCTCACTATGATGAATAAAACAAGGTGAGTCAATTACACGTCAATTACACTAGTGCAAACATTTTGTTTTGATCATATGTTACTTAATACTTACATGTTGTCCCTTATGTAAAACACCATCTTTGGTCCTTCAAGATCATCGAATGGGCTTCCGCCTTAAAAACCACTCCCATTGTATCTATTAGATAAGTATATTCGATTCCGTTACTTACATATGAAATATATATATTAGTTAGAATTCATACCTATGGGAAAGTTTTTCTCCTTGTGGCTCATGTGAGGGATTTCATGAATGCCTTTGAACTCAAAGTAGAGCTGATCGTTCAGAGGATCGATGATGTGGATTTGGGTTTCGCCAGTAGCAGTTAGTGTGAATTTGGATTTTGCTGCCTTGAAACGTGAATGGGCACGGCCAACTTCTACAACAAAAATTTCCACCCATTTTCCTTCTTGCTTCTCTAGGCCTCTAAACCTATCTCCATATAAACGCCAATGCTTGACCTTCTCGTGATAGATAACTTCACCAAGAGTATTGTAGTGTTCCATATTTGAAAGATGATGAATTATTTCTTTTCGGTGAAATGTTTTTAGATATAAAAGAGACGATTTAACTTAACTTACTGCAGTGGAGTGGAGATAAATTTAGGGTTTTTAAAATTGAATGAAAATGTAATGATGATTTGGTTTAGTGTTGTGGGATTTAAATGAAGTGTAATGATGATCATAGGCGACTGTTAGTGTGAAAAATCGTGTCTTTCCTACTGAACTCAACTTGTTGGGTTGGGGTAATAAATCTGAAAATTATGGAGGGGAAGACACCGCACCGTCTATCAAATCATTCTTAAATGGAAGAGTTACAACTTGTAGTTGGGGTAATAAATCATTATTACAAAAATTAAATTACTCTTCATTTATTATCCCTTATATTTCTTACTGAATAATATATTTATTTCTTAACGGTCTACATAGTTTCATATATTTAGACTATCAAAATTGTTGCACTATGTAAATTGTTAAATGTTTTCTTAGTTTCATATATTTAGACAATCTAACTCAGCTGTTTCACTTAGTTTTAAAAAACTATTTATTTTTATCATTTAAAGTTTTACAAAGTTTTAAATCTAACGTATGCGACTGTTGCAGTCAGAAGTCGTGCCTTCTCGAGACCTCCATCAAATCACCCTTAACTGCCGTGATAAATAAAATCTTATCTCTTCTCCACTGTTGAGGATCATCGCTATTATAAAACGGTTTGTCATTTTCCAAATAAATAAAACGTTAATTTTTCCATTTAGTGATAAAACAAATATCTCACCATGTCGAACTCTAACTTGGCTTCTCTCCCTCCTTCCATGCTTCACAAGATTCTCTCTAAGGTAGCAGAAAACCATCTCCGGGACTTTAGTAGTGCAAGAGTTGCATTACCCGCCTTCAATCAAATTGGCAGAGAAGAATACTTCTACAAATCTGCAGATCTTATTCACTTCAATGACTGGATTGATGAGGTCAATGCTGTCAGAACATGCATGCTTAAGTGCTACCAAGCCGGTATCAACATGCGATCTACATGCGAGGTATGTATGAGTTCTTCGTCTTCTATTTACTTGATCAATTAAGGGAAAAAATCGTCTTGCTGGTGAGAGGGGATTTTGTTGGCCAAGTACGTTGATGATATGCTCAACTTAGCATTTAGTGTTGATGATAGAGGACTAGTTCACAACTTTCCTACTTTTATACGTGAGTTTTCTGATCAGATGAATCACATGCTCGCTACTGAGGTATCCTCAGGTCATTGGGGTTACGAAAAACCACAGATCTTTATGTCTCTATTGGAAAAGATAGATCCCAACATCAATTATTGCTGGTGCTCTGAAATGATATAACCGGTGTTTGTTGTCTCTTTAGATGGATCAAGAACACGGTGAAAATGCAATCGTTGTTTCTGGCAATGTGCAGTTTGGGACTTCTACAATGATATTCATTTGACTGTTGTTCTGTGGCCAAAGCTCGTTTGGTTGCAAAGGGTTATACTCAAAATTAGGGATGAAGTATTTTTGTGTGTTTATAAGTTGTTTATAAGTTATACCATGCACCTTTATTTACTTTTCTAAACTTTATGTAAAATAAATTTCCCTTAATGTAATGTCTATAGTTTTTATTTATTTTAATTTTACTAAATATATCAGTAACATAATGCAAATGAATAACTATTTTTATATGTTTTGGATTAACTGTAATCAAAGTTAATCAATATGTTATCACTAAATATATCAATATCATATTGCAAATGTACATAATACAATCAAAATTAGTTAAAGGTTTACTAAATTGTATAGTTACTACAAGTGTGAATTAGTGCAACTTAGATTACAGTTACACTTACACCAAGTTATATAATTACACAAAGTTTCAGTAATGTTTTTGAACCTATGGACACTGGAGATCCAAAATTTTATGATTCGGGTCTGGATGATCCGCGAAATACCTCTGGTTGCCTTGTAATTATTCGAGTTTCTTTCGGTGTTATGGTCTTTTACTAAATTTTCCTATTTAAATAAAGATTTTTGTTCGGATTTATTTGGGAATAAATTTCGGACAGGACGATTTTGAGAATAAATTTTTTTGGACAGGGGTACTAAAGCATTTGATTCAAAAAAGTAAAGCAATTTACACATATGTCAAATCATGTGTATGGTTAATATTGCTTCCATTTTGGGTATATTTAACCAATTCTCCCTATTTTTTTAATGTTCATTTGTAAAGTTAAATAAAAAATGGAACATAATTTTGTTCCATTATATATAACGCATCATAAGAATGAAATTAACAATAAAAAAATCAACGAGAAGAAGAAACGACAGCGGAATGGTAAGCGGAGATCAGGATGGTCTTGTTCGTGTCGCTCGCATGCAGCAAAGACGATACGGGAGGCTATTATTGAAATGTTCATATTCTTTGATTGCTAGAAGAATGTAAACATTTGGAGAAAATGAGCAGTTACCAATGCAATGTTCGATTCTAATTTAGTAGAGAAATATAGACTGAAATATAAATTGGGTTTTCTATCAATTATTTTTGGTTCTATTTTATTAGAGAAACACTACGAGAAAACTAAGCATTTACTAGGAAACTTTACTAGGAAAATAATTCCTCGTAAAAATACTACGAATTTACTTCGAGTTTACGAGGAAACCATTTTTCCTCGTAACGTTCTCGTATACTTACGAGAAAACAGTTTTCTCGTAAACTCGTAGTAGACTTACGTGGCCCTTACGAGGAAAAAGTCATTTTCCTCGTAAACTCATAGTAATTCATTTTCTCGTAAATTCCTAGTAATTACTTACTATGAAATTAGGAGGAATGATTTTTTTACTACGAAATTAAGAGAAACTGGATAGAAAATATCGAATTTAAATCAAAAACGTGTTTTGTACCTATTTTTCTTAGCAATTTCCTAGTAAATTCTCAGATTCAATAATTTCTATAAATACCACCATATGTGGTTCATTTGAAACACACCCAAAAAACAATCAGCTATAAGCTTGATAAAACACAAAAAATGTCCGGTCCGAGAAATATTTTCAAGTTGCGTAAGTGGATGTATTCACACAGAGATAATAACGGGAGGGTGACGAAAGAATTTCTCGAAGGGTTGGAGACGTTTATGCATCAAGCAGATTCTACACCACTCACGCATGAAAGTGGTAAGATGTTATGTCCTTGTCGGAAATGTTGCAATACCAAATTATGCCCTCGTGAAAATGTTTGGAAGCATTTAATAAATAGAGGTTTCATGCCATATTATTATATTTGGTATCAACATGGAGAAGATGCTAGTTGTATGAATGAAAGTAGCAGTAGTAATAGCAATTTTCAGATTGAACCGGTTGAGCATTTGCGTAATGAAGGTAGCAGTAGTAATAGCTATCATCACCAAGAGGAACAAATGGTAGATTGTGAAAGGATTCATGATATGGTAGGTGATACCTTTGTAACTCATGATGATGATGAAGTTGAAGAACCTAACTTAGATGCCAATAAGTTTTATAAAATGTTAGATGCTGCGAATGAGCCAATTTACAGTGGTTGTAGAGAAGGTATGTCTAAATTGTCATTGGCTGCTAGAATGATGAGTATTAAAACCGATCACAATCTACCTGAAAATTGTATGGATGCATGGGCAGACTTGTTTAAAGAGTATTTGCCAGAAAACAATGTGTCTGCTGAATCTTATTATCAGATTCAGAAATTGGTATATAGTCTTGGGTTGCCCTCGAAGATGATAGACGTTTGCATCGACAACTGCATGATTTACTGGGGAGATGATGAGAAGTTAGAAGAATGTCGATTTTGTAAGAAGCCACGATTCAAACCGCAAGGTCGAGGGCGTAATAGGATACCGTACCAAAGGATGTGGTACCTATCAATCACATACAGATTAAAAAGATTGTACCAATCTGAGGAGACTGCTGGAGGGATGAGATGGCACGCCGAGCATACTCAGACGGATGGAGAGATGACTCATCTATCAGATGCAAGAGCCTGGAAACATTTTAACAATGTACATCCACATTTCGCTAACAATAGCCGGAATGTGTATCTTGGATTATGCACTGATGGATTTAGTTCATTTGGAATGTCTAGGAGACAATATTCATTGTGGCCAATCTTTCTTACACTGTATAACTTGCCACCGGAGATGTGCATGCGACGAGAGTTTCTATTCATGAGCATATTAATACCTGGTCCAAAACATCCAAAAAGATCTCTCGATGTTTTTCTACAACCACTGATAAAAGAGTTGAAAGATTTGTGGTCAACAGGGGTGAGGACATATGATTGTTCAACGAAAACAAACTTTACGATGCGAGCGATGCTTTTGTGGACCATAAGTGACTTTCGTGCATATGGTATGTTGTCTGGGTGGACTACACATGGGAGATTAGCTTGTCCATATTGTAATGGAATGACATATGCGTTTCAGTTGAAGCATGGTAGGAAGACTAGTTGGTTCGATTGTCACCGTCGATTTCTTCACATTCACCACCCATACCGAAGAAACAAGAAATTGTTCAGGCACAAGATGGTTGTCAGAGACACTCCTCCTCCATATTTAACTGGAGAACAAATCGAAGCGCAAATCGATTACTACTGTGCTCTAGAAACAGCTCCTCATGGTGGGAATTGGCATGTTCCCAGTTAACGTATTATGGTATGTTTTAATTTTTAAAAAGTTTTGATGTATTATGTATGTTTTAATTTTTAAAAGTTTTTTTAATTTATTTCTTAATTAACAAAATATTTACACATTAATCTAATTAATGATTTATTTTGTGTCTTTCCAGGTTTGGTCTTGACAATTGTGTCGGAACTAGCGTCACAGACTGTATCAAGGGATACTTTCCCGTTCCAGCTCCAAACTGGAAGATGACGGCGAGCCACACAAAAAGACGTGGTTCAAATCGTTCGCTGTAAGTTTAATTCGTTAATTTATTTTTAATTATTTAAAATTATTAATATTATTGAAGTAATCCGTCTCTTATTTT